TTGTGTGACCACTAATATTTTACAGTATTTATTAAATTATTTTTATTATATATATTAAATGATTTTTTTTTAAAATATTTTTTAAATTCCACGGTTTTAATCAAATATTTTATATTTTGAAATTTTAAAACGGAAGGAGTATATGGTTTCCTATGGAGCATTGTATAACACGTGAAGAGATTTAGCCGCGGATCTCCGAGATTGAGATTTTGCTACCAAAATCAAGAAATATTGTTTTGAACTTTTGATTGCTTAACTTTTAATATCAGCTCTATTATCCTTTTAAAGCCGTCTTTTATGCATACTCCTTAAGTTTAGTGTAATTATGATTTTGTCCCTAAGACCCTAACTATTACCTAGGTTGTATTGACACCGGTACGGGGATAAGAAACGGGGACGGACACCGGGACGGAAAACAGTAATACGAAAAATTTATGGATACGAGTACGGTAGGGATACGTCAATAGATATATATAAAAAAATACCTATGAATACATATAAGAAAATTACATCATATGTTATACATTTTATTTTTATTTTTTTCTTAAAAATAATAATTAATATATATAACAAACAACGGAAACACTAATTTTTAACATAATACGTTTGAGAAACGTCTCTAAATTCGAAAGGTTTCGTCCCCGTTAATTGTCGACGTCCCTAATATGTTAGAGACATCTCGGGGACGTTTCGGTGGTGTTTCCAAGTCGTACCCGTCTCCGGAACGTTTCCGGTACGGGAGACGGCACCAAAACAAAGTACCCGTGCTTCATAGACTATGAAATTGCTATTTTTTCACCTACATGTTTAAAGCTTTTCAAGCCTTTACACGGCTTCACTTGTGTGTGAATCGTAAGAAAGAAGATTATGTTATGTATATTTTAATATATATTTCATCTACACTAACCCTAGATATTTACCAATAAATCAATTTCATATAATTTTACTTTTGTTGTTTTTTAAAATGTAGAAGATATATTTTGTACAACACGGCAACGAGTTCTTTAATAGCTTGTGGTAGTAGCCAAATGACTGTTACTTGTGTATTAGCGGTTGAAATTGAAACCATTTCAAAAAAGAGACTCGAACATTTTTTCATTTCATGCATAATATAAAAAATAACAAGATAACAAATAGGATATTTTTTTTTGTTGGTCAAAACAAATAGGACATTAAGGCATCAATTTACGTGTGAATTACACTTGAAGAGAAACCCGTTATCTTGGCGCCATTTACGTTCCCACTCTTCTTTTGTCTCTTTTTCTAAATCATAATCCCCAAAACC